AAGGCATTTGACTTAACCAGAAGGCTGGCGGTTCAAACCCACTAGCCACTCTTCAGAAGGAGGGTTGGGCAATCTACTTCCGTAGTGATACTGTCTCAGAAACCCAAGGAGGGGTTGCTATGAGTTGGATCTGACTCAATGGTGAGTTTTTTTTTTTTTCCCCATTGGTGTTGATTGTAAATCCAAGTAAAATGAAATCCCTGACAACTTCAGTCTCTTCTCTATTTGTTATGATGTTATTTGTTGGTCTAGTTGTGAGGATTTTTTTTTTTTTTTTATGTTGAGGTATAATCCATACTGAAGACTGAAGTCTTCGACCTTCATCAGTAAGTGCTTCAAGTCATGTTCACTTTCAGCCAACCAAGGTTGTGTCATCTCCATATCTCATGTTGTTACTGACTCTTCCTCCAATCCTGATGCCTCATTCTTCTTCATATAGTCCAGCTTCTCAGATTATTTGCTCTACATACAGATTGAATAAGTATGGTGAAAAGATACAACCCTATCACACACCTTTCCTGATTTTAAACCATACAGTATCCCTTTATTCTCTTTGAACAACAGCCTCTTGATCTGTGTCCAGGTTCCTCATGAGCACAATTAAGTCCCATTCTTTGCATTGTTATCCATAATTTGTTATGATCCACACAGTCAAATGCCTTTGCATAGTCAATTAAACACAGGTAAACATCTTTCTGGTATTTGCTCTCAGCCAAGATCCATCTGACATCAGCAATGATATCCCTTGTTCCATATCCTTTTCTGAATCTGGCTTGAATTTCTAGCAGTTCCCTGTCAAGATAGTGCTGTACCGTTTTTGAATTATCTTCAGCAAGATTTACTTATGTGTGATATTAATAATATTGTTTGATAATTCCCACGTTCTGTAGGATCACCTTTCTTTGAAATGGGCACAAATATAGATCTCATCCAGTCAGTTGGCCAGGTAGCTGTCTTCCAACTTTCTTGGCATAGCCAAGTGAGTGCCTCCAGCGCAGTATGCATTTGTTGAAACGTCTCAGTGGGTGTTCCGTCAATTCCTGGAGCCTTATTTTTTGCCAATTCCTTCAGTGCTGCCTGGACTTCTTCCTTCAATACCATTGGTTCTTGATCACATGCTCCTTCTGAAATGGATGAACATTGGCCAGTTCTTTTTGTTATAGTGACTCTGTGCATTCCGTCCATCTTCTTTTGATATTTTCTGCATCATTCAGTATTTTGCCCATAGAATCCTTCAGCATTGCAACTTGAAGCTTGTATATTTTTTCTTCAGTTCTTTCAGCTTGAGCAATGCTAAATGTTCTTCCCTTTTGGATTTCTAACTCCAGATCTTTGCACATTTCATTATAGTACTTTGCTCTGTCTTAGTATTAAGTATATACTATCCTTCTCTATGCATAAAAATATTAAACACTTTCAGACACACTGAAACATCTAGTAATGATAATGTTTGGACGCATAGCCAAAGTAGTGTCCATTCGTTATTATGAACCATTATCTGTACCTTGAGTTTTAATTTTAATGGCTTTACAGAGGTTGGTACAGGTTGTATGTAAGTTGGGCAGCCATAAGTCAGAGACTGCCGGTACTAAATAATTTTAAACAGTGGTTCGTGTTCTGAACCGTCATGTAGAGCTCCCCACTGCTAGTATTTTGCCATGTTTCCTTCCGGTGTTTTCCATCCCTTCTTCTCTTAATAGCGCATCAGTTTATATTCAGGCTTTTTTTTTCCTCTTCATATTCAGTCGTAAACCCTTCCCCCTTGTTATTGAAGAGGCTCTGTAAGTGATACTTCAGTGGCTGTGTGAATGTGCCTTTTAAGGATTTGCTGTAATTCACTTAATCTTCCCCTGGCTCGTGAATGCTTTGGTTATTCCAGTGTTCTGTGGTCGCAGACAGTGTTGCAGGTCAGCAGCTGTGCACACACGTCTCTAGCCACACGTTCGGCTGTTTCCTTAGCGTGGTGGGAGGGAATTGGACATCCTTCTCATGGGGGCAGAGGTGCGCGTTGTGCCATAAATGACCTGTTACGTCTCGGCAAAGGCCTGCATGGCAGTATCCTCATCTAGAAATGGCTGCATTAGAACTTGATGGTCTTAAAAGTCTATCAAACTCTAAAACATGTTTCAAGATAGAGATAGTTGTTGGGTGCCTTTAAGTCAATTCAAGGAGCTCTGGTGGTGTGATGGTTAAGGGATTCAGCTGATATCCAAAGGTTGGCAGTTCAAACCCACCAGCCTCTCCTCAGGAGAAATGAGGCAATCTGCTTCCATAAAGAGTGACAGCCTTGGAAACAGCAGTGGCTTTGGTCTTTGGTTATTGAGTCGATTCCACCTCATGGTGACCCCATGAGACAGAGTAGAGTGGCCCCATAGGGGTTCCTTGACTGTAACCTTTACAGGAACACACTGCCAGGTCTTTCTCCCGTGGAGTCACTGGGTAGGTTTGAACCACCAGCCTTTTGGTTAGCAGCCTAGTGCTCAGCCATCGTGCACCAGAGCTCTGTAGCTAGAGGCTAAGTTGCTGCAAAGCTTCGTTGGCTGGAAGCAGGAAGCAAGGCCAGCTGCCATCCTCCAGGAAGCTCTTGGAAGGCGGCTTTCTTGGCCTTCTCTCTGGGAGGAATTCACATGTGTCTGAGAGGAAGAGGCAGGGGCCTTGTTTAGCTCACATTTCCCAGTGATCATGGCTCCCTTGCTCTCGGGGACACTGTTGTACCTCTCGTTTCAATGCACGTCAAGGTGCTTCCCTCTCGCCCTCATTGCCAGTCTCTGCTGGGGACAGTGCTTGCGTAGTCCAGAGGGGTCCATGCATGACCGCTTAGCAGAGATGGGGTACGCCCATGCTCACTCAGCTGGGATGGGGTGCACATGGGAACAGGGTGCATGTGTGGCCGCTGAGTGGAGATGGGGTGCATACGTCGCTGCTCAGTAAGGACAGGGTACATGTGCGGTTGCTCAGCAGAGATGGGGTGCACACGCGACCGCTCAGTGGGGATGGGGTGCACGTGGAGACAGGGTGCATGTGCAGCTGCTCAGTGGGGATGGGGTGCACACGTGACCTCTCAGTGGGGACGGGGTATACTGGAGATGGTGCACACGTTGGCTTCAAGAAGTGAGTAGTTCCTTAGTGTCTGAAGAGGTGTCAGTGGATGATGGCTGGGTGGAGGAAAGTGTGGCCAATGTGCCCTCTGTCCCCAGCCCTCCCCCAAATCTGACAGTGACTTTCACCTGACAGTGTTCTAGGCCTTTAGTCCTTTTGGGAGGGTTGTTAGGATCTGCTTTTGCGTTTTGGTCCCACTGCTTTTCTAGGCTGTGCTGGGTGCCCCCTGGCCAGCAGGGTGCCCTGTCTGGTGTGGTTCAGTGCCCCGCCTTGTCTCCATCAAAAGCCTCTTGGTTCCCTGCCGGTCTCCCCAGGGTTGTGCCGTGAGCACCTAGACTCAGCACAGACTGCCCTTTACAGCAGGGCCTCACCCGCCAGCACCAGCCAGGTCTCTGTATGTCTCCCCAGCAACCCTCTGTGGCTGCGATGTAGTCCGCGCGGTTGGCATACGTTGGACTTGGGAGGAAAATCGTTTATGTTTGTTGGTGCTGATCTGACTCTGCTATGCTTGGAGGAAGTTGCTTGTGAAGTAAAGTGTTAATCGTGAGCTGTAGTTTCTTGCTTCTGGGCCTGTTCTTCCTCTACCCGTGGCTGTTCTGAGTGATCTTTATCCTACTGCCATTGAGTTGATCCCTCCTCATTGCTACCCCGTGCGTGCAGAGCAGAACTGCCCCATAGTGTTTCCAAGACTGTCTGTCATCTTATGGAAGCAAAGCCACACCAAGCCCACTGCCGTGGAGTCGATTCTGACTCATAGCGCCCCTAGAGGACAGAGTGGAGCTGTCTCAGAAGGTCTCCAAGGCTGTCAATCTTTACAGAAGCAGACTGCCTCATCTTTCTTCTGCAGAACAGCTGGTAGATTTGAACTGCTGACCTTTTGGTTATCAACCAAATGCTTTAACCACTATGTCACCCAGGCCTATGATAATCACTGAAGTTCAAGACAGGCCGATACCCAGGACAAGGCCTAGGTCCGTTTTAGCAGGGGGCTGGCTTTGCCTGCCTGTTAGGTTTCCCAGAGGGCTGAGTAAATTCCGTTTCTGGTCTGGTGTTGCTGTTGATAGCTGCTGTCCTGTCGGCCTGATGCATGCCGACCCCGTGCACAGCAGGACGAAACCCTGCCTGGTCCTGAGGGGCTGCCCATTGGACTGCTGTGTCTGTAGGGTTTTCATTGGCTCGTTTCCCTGTAGGTCACGAGGCCTGTCTCCCTGGTCTGTCTCAGTCTGGAAGCTGCACTGACACCTGTTCAGCCTCATAGCCACATGCGGCCTCCACTGACAGACGGGGTGGAGTGTGGGGTGCGTTGGCGGGAAGTTGAGGTCAGGTTGAAGGCTTCGGTGGGAGCAGAGGGAACAGAAGAGGGCAGGAGGTGGGGCGAGGAGGAGCAGGGAAACTGTGAACTGTGCCCAGGGGAAGATGGCCTCTACCACCTGCTGCCTGAGGTCCTTTCCTGAGACCCTGGCTGCCACCTGTTTGCCCCTTTCTTACCTTAAGTTGATTTAAAATGTATTATTAATTTATTTTTGACTAGACACATGCACTTGAGTCCAATACCAAACGGTGTACCCCGTCACACAGTGGGCGTTCTCCCTCCCGCCCATCCTCGCCCACCCAGCCGCCTCTGGCTGCGCCCAGGGAGGCCCCGTTCCTGTCCCAGTTTCCTTCCGGGGTCTCCCCCCGCGCGCTCGCTCACACACGCACCCTGTAGACGCGTCGTGTGGACTGTACATCGTGCTGCACCTTCCTCTCGCCGCCACTTCACCTTCTGTCTGCTGCTTCGTTTCCCCTTCTACACGAGGTGAACCTTTGTCATTTGGAGGCAGACTGGGGTCGTTTGTTGGACTGAGCATCTGGCACCTGGGGTGAGTTCACGTGTCTGTCTGTCTGTCTTCTTCCCACAGATGACGTGGAGAGCGAGAAATGGTTCCTGTCTACGGACTTCTCTTCAGCAACCATCAAGACAGAGCCGATAACCGACGAGGCGCCCCCGGGCCTTGTCCCCTCTGTCACGCTGACCGTCACAGCCATCTCCACCCCTCTGGAGAAGGAGGAGCCCCCTCTGGAGATGACTACTGGGGTACGCTCAATTTTCTTTCTTCCCAAGAGGTGGGATGTAAAGACGGTGATTCTGCTTGTCCAGCGAGGCCTTTCCTCTTTCTGGAGCCCGTGGCCGTTGGTGTTGATCTCTGTCTGTTTAACCACATCTGGGTGTGGAGTCCCTGGGTGGTGCGATGGTTAAGAGGCCTGGCTGCTGACTGAAAGGTTGGAGGCTTGAGTCCACCCAGGTGAGCCTGGGAGGAAAGACCTGGTTATGTGCTTCTGAAAAACCCACCATGAAAACCCTGTGGACACCTTTCCACCCTGACACACACGGGGTGACCATGAGTCAGGGTCAGCTGTTCTGTCTGTCATCTGTCCAACTATCTAAGGGAGTGTTGATTTCTTACTGGCATCGTATTGCTTCCTTTACAGGCAAGTTGGTAGCAAAGCAGATTCATGATTTCTTTGATTCTGCTATCAAATTAAACGCTTAGATGCATATCCTTGGTGAGGGAAGTTCCCTGCAGGGTTATTTGGAGCCAGTGGAGGGGAATGGTGGTCTGATGGTTATGCGGCCCGTGGCTTCTTGGTGCGTGCAGCAGCTCACGGCTGTGGCAACACCAGCTCCTGTGCAGTGTCCTCTCCATGGGCCGAGTTGTGTTGTCCTGACTTCATTCAGAGACTGCCCTGCATGCACACTTGTTACTGTGTTACCCTTGGAAACCATGAGGAGCCAGGAAGTTAGTTTACACCACAGATGTAGCTTGCTTTAGGAAGAAGCTCAGGTCTTAAATTCTTTGATGATACAGATTTTGGAAGGGCATATCTTATTTTCCTGTATCTATATGTTGGCCTTGGAAAGCTTACCCCAAGAGACTAGAAAGCTCTTGCTCGATACCATGGCGACAGCGAGGAGAGTGTCGGGAGCAGGCTGAGGCACACCTCAAGTGTGACAGGTACGGCTCGGGCCCTGGGCACCACCTGAAGGGGGCGCTGCGAGCAGTGGCTGTGAACCATTACAGTTTACCTTGCCGGGTGGGAGAGGCCATTCGGCAAGTTAAAACTTGTCCTTTCCTATTCGAGAGCCCCCCTGGGTCAAGGCCAACTGTGCTCCCGCTGTGCTGAGTGTACAAAGAGAAGACACTGCAAAAAGTACTGTGAGCTCATCATAGGCCAGTTCTCATCAGTGAAGCTAGGAAGGTGCGCTTGTCACTTTCAGGTGTTAAGTTAGAGGAGCAGTCATCCGAAAGATGGGTGTCAGATGTTTACAACAGCAAAACTCAACACTTAATGCCTAAGGCATTTGACTGCTAACTAGAAGGGTGGCAGTTAAGCCCACCAGCCACTCCTCAGAAGGAAGGTCAAATGTTTGGTGGGGTGCAGTTCCAGAGCTTGCCATGGTGACATTTTCCACGCCTGTGGAGGTGGACCAGGTGGACCGGCGGAATCACGCCTGTGCATCGTCTCACAGGTGTTGAAAGCTAGCCTGAGTGTCCTTGTGTCCGGAGCCTGGGGTAGTGAACAGTGGCTCCGTGAGCATTCCTGAAGTCAGGTTTTCTGTGAGGGGAAGGGTACACGCAGTCGGTCGCTCTCTGGTGCTCTGTGTGTTCCATCCGTGGAGAAGGTGAAGGTTGTTGTAGACAGAAGACCACTACCCTTGCCCGTTAGAGCTCTTTTCTCGGTAGTAGGCATCTCTCTTGGGCGGGCTCCTGGGCTGTGGCTGGGTCTCCTTGCTCCACAAGAATCTGTCATGGTCACATCCACTTCCACTCCTGGCATCTGTGTCTCTGAGGAGACCTGTGCGCCCCACGGTTTTCAGTGCCTGGTTTTTCGGAAGTAGACCTCCAGGCCTCTCTCTGACGTGCTTCTGGGTGGTCTCCAACCACCAACCTTTCACGTTAACAGTTTGCCTCACCCACAAGTCTTCAGTTTATTTTTAGATATGTGATGCAGGTCAGAGGCACAGCCTTGCTGTGTGTATGGGCCGGGTACTTTTGTCCTTCCCCTACCAGGTTAGATGTCGTCAGCCATTAAGCAGCTGGAGGAGAAGACGTGGCTTGGTGCACCAATCCCTAGGGCAGGGAAAGCTGGTGGCCCAGTAACCCTTTACAAAATGTACCAGAAGATTCCACAATAAAATATCTTTATGTTCCCACAGAAACACTAGCTACAGGCACTGACAAGTGAACCTTGGGTTTTTTATTGCTGGGGTTTGTAGGGTTCCATCACTCAAAAGTTGACGGTTCAAATCCCCCACAAGCATCTCAGAAGAAGATCTAAAACAATGAGCCGTTGAAAACCCTATGGAGCATGGTTCTGTTGCAACACACCTAGGGTTGCACGAGTCGGAGTTGACTCGATGGCACTCGGTGAGAGGCCATCAGTGGTGCTGCCAGGGTAGGGGATGAGAGGACGTGACTGGCTGGGGTGACCTCCCTTCAGGCAGCAGCCCGCCTCAGCCATGCCTCAGCTGACTCCAGAGAAGGAGGGCGTTCTGAGAGGACGACACAGACCACCCCAGAGCTCTTCTCTTTGCTCTTCAGTGTTGTTGTTTGTGCTGAAGTTGTGTTTGACATTCTTCCTTTAGGTTGACTCCTCGTGCCAGACAGTGATCCCCAAGATTAAGCTGGAGCCTCATGAGGTTGACCAGTTCCTCAACTTCTCTTCTAAAGAAGGTCAGTCTGTTTCCTCCGCTTTCTTACCTGTCACCAGGTGCACTGCTCGGGGTGGTGAACGGGATGGCGTTTACAATACAGGTGTGCTTGTTTCAGGAGCCCACGCTGTTCTTAAGGCCCTCGGTGTCAGGACACATGTTGAAAGGCAGTCTTGTGTCCTGTATCTGTGTACGTTTAATGTCCAGCCAAGTCTTTCACTCCTATTGTCACTGCCATCGAGTTGCTCACAGTGACCGACCCCGTATGTAGTAAACAAATGCAGCCTCATCCTGGGCTGTGCCCTGGTCAGTTGTGGATGACACAGCTGTGACATGGGTTTCCAGGGGCTGAGTTTTCAGTACGTTGTCAGGTTTCTCTACCAAGGAACCTCTGAGTGGATTCGAACCACTAACCTCTTGGTTAACAGCTGAGCGTGTTCCCTGTTCACACCACCTAGGGCCTTCATTATCAGTAAAGACAAGACTGACTTGAAATGTGACTGACAGTGACGAGAGTCACTCGGGAGACAGGGCCCTCTTCTCTGCCAGGCGTCACTGCCTCTCAGCTTCCTTCACGGCCTGGAGGCCACGTCTTCCCCGTGACGGTACCTGTTGACACACACACATCTTGTGCTTTCAGTTTCTGCTGCAGTCTGCTTCAGCAGGGGCCCTGACTGGGACAGCGTAGCCCATGGTGAGTGCAGTGTCCGGGATCCTGGAGAGGAACCTTCATGTCAGACAGATGGCAGGCCTTCCCCATTGTCCGGGATAAACAAAGAAGGAAATGCAACCTCCTTGCCCGCATCAGAGCTTCCAGGCACAGCTAGCTGTCTGTTGTTCCCAGCCCTTCTGGTAACCTGAGAGCGGCATTTCAAATGACGTTTAGAAATCCGAGGCCGAGGCCCCTGTGGGCAGGTCAGCGGCCTTCACCGGTAGGAAAGAGGAGCCTCAGATTGGCCTCCCCCTTCCTGTCCCGCCATTCCCCTTTGCCATTCATTGTGCGCTCTCTGGGGAAGGTGGGCGTGATTGGAGGGGGCCCAGTGAAAGCGAAGGTGTCGCTTTGAAGACTGAGATGCGCCT